CAGGAAGCGCGGAAGGGGCGTGGCGCAGAGTGGGGCGGGGCTTTGGAGGGGAAGCACTAAAAGTGCTGGGGCCAGGCTTTCGGCGCCGAAAGGGTGGCGTTTATATTTAGGCCCTTCGCTAAGTCTACATTGAAGCAGTTTCCAATTAAGTGTCCTTCAGTTTCCATTTATTTCGTTGAAAAGTTGTGTCATAAAGCTAAAGAATGATGACGGGAGTCAGAATGTTGGTTCACTTCTGCGAGGTAACAGCCTGGAGAACTTTATGGGGTATCGTTTTTCTTGTATCTTGGTATGAACAGTGGTTAACTGGATGCACGTATATGTAAAAGAAGTCGAGGTACATTTCTATTAGTGTGTTTGTGCAGCTTCGAATGTATGCTGACCCTCAAAAAAATGTGGATTTAGAGATCCTAGAATGTAACTTTATAATGGAAGAAAACACATAGGCTTTCAATTAATATTCGAGATTGTTTTTCCTCAAACGTTTGTAAATGCAAATGCAAACCAAAATGTGTACAGTGCCCACAGTCGATGACAGTTATCAGTACGCGCATCACACTTAACCCCCACAACGGCGCTCCAGTGGCCAGCTTTCCCACCCCCCTGGGCATGGCCATCCCAAGGACACCAGTCATCTGCGTGATAACAAAGCCAACTGTGCTTTCTCTGTGCTCATCTAGCCTGACTCCCAGCAGCCCCATCACCGTTGCCCCACACTCCTTGGCAGGCTCCGCTGTCAGGCTCTATGGGTGGCTAAGGTAGCTGTTCTTCCTCAACTTCCAGACGTTGTTGCACCTTGGGACACTGTCCTCGTCCTTTATTTCTCTTCATATCAACACATTCCTCCAAATAACCTACTCATTGTATCAGAAGCCTTCAATATCCCTTCCTCTGATATAAAAAATAGTTTAGTTAGTTGGTTTGTGAGTAAGGCAGCTAGCCAGGGAAAGAGACAGAGTTGGATGATCTGTCACACTAATAAGAATCAAAATAAGAGACAGTGAGCTAGGACTTGGGCCAAGAATGAACTTCCTCAGGCCACGTGAAATTCAGGCCCTCCCTGCTAAGATCCTTAGTTTTGAGGAATTTAAAATGCAAAACAACCAGTTTTTCTCTAAAATCCAGTTTCCTGTAAACCCTACAGGCTTAGTAAGTGGGTTAGAGAGCCTGAATTAAATCGGTCATTTTAAATCCACAGGACCACCAATTCCATGATTGGTGTATCCATAGAAAGTTCCAGACTCAGGAGCCATGCAGAAATTCTACTTTTTGGGTTTAACTCCTGGAGAAACTGGGAGGCTTTTCTTCTTATTTCCAATTAAAAATCTCTTAGGGCTCGGGATTTAGCTCAGTGCTCCAGTGCCTGCCTCACAAGCACAATGTACTAAGTTTAATCCCTGGTATTAAAAAAAAAAATCTTTTTACTCCCTTCTTTGGTTCATGACTTCATTCTTCAATTTTTCTGAACCCAAGAGCTCGGTTTCTACTGTTTCACTGAGGTAGAAGATATAAAGATTGCCACAACCTGGAAAAGAAATATTGAATAGTTACTGTCAGAAGGAGCTGCTCTTTAAAACATGAATATATAATATTATAAAGATAGTGCGTACTAAAACACTGGTGAAGAAATCTGAATAATTGGTACTTCTCTTAGACATTTTCACTGCACTGAGAGACTTCTTCCAGCAGTAATGTGAGAATAAACCTCTTTGCAGATGGAAAGGAAGGAACAAAAGAGTGGAAAAAAGACAAGGAAAATCATAACTTAAAAAAATTATACTTTAAAGAAGATTTCAACCTCAGGATACAACGTTCTCTAGATAACCAATATCATCTTCTTGAGGTATGTTTATGCTTCTTTTCTTTTAGGCCATTATACCTAAACTCACTCAAACCTACAGATTACCTTAGTTGATAAAGGGCAGAAACCTGATTGTGAGATAAAGGAACAAATTGAGAGAGTTCAAATAATTTTTTTTAGGAAAAACATCTTAGATCACGCCTCTCCCCTAAAAAACTTGGTGGGCTCATGCTTTGACCTGTAAAATGGACCATTGTCATTCTGTGGGTGGGCCACCTTCCCAAACCATGATAGAACTTCCTATAGATTCCCAAAGTCCACAGATTTCCACCTTCAAAAACATAAATACTCCCAGCTCCAAACTGTAGTGTGTCTCATTTCTCTGGACACCCACACTCCACCCTGCAGTGTAGACTTTTAAAATTCTGCCTAATAAATCCTTTTATGCATCTTTCTGACCAGTTCCTAAAACTGTTTCAGCGATGGGAGTCAGCAAAACTGCCACTTATTACATAGGTAGAATAGGTTTAGATTTTCTAGATCTGCTTTGGGAATCTCCTGGACATTTTTTTTTATTGTTTTGTTTCTTTGAGACAACATCTCACTATATAGTTTGGGCTGACCTTGAACTCACTATATATAACCCAGGCTATCTTTGAATTGACAGCGGTCCTTCTGCCTCTGCCTTCCAGATGCTGGGATTACAGGTGTGCACCACCACACACAGCTTCTAAAAATAAGTTGTATACTACAGAGTAAAACTCAAAAAAAAAAAAAAATTCCAGAAGCCAGAGGTAGTGAAGTATAATGGGTAGCCTGCTTCGGCGTAAAGCCCACTTCCATCACTGGCTAAAAAGATGACTGTGGGCTGTTTTCCCTAGAGATTTCCTTTTTCAAAATATCACCAATTAAAATAAGTGACGTCCCAGCAATGTCGTGGCGGTCCCCTTTGCCAGGGGGTAGCCCTTTAGTTTCTGGGGTGGCCTTTTTATGAGGAAGATAGAGGGTAGGAGGAGAAGCCAGAAAGACTGCAGCAGCTGGGGACTTCTTGGGGTAGAGGAGCGGCAGAGGGTTCTAGGCAGGAATTACCTCCAGTCCTCACAGGCACATCTTGATATTTTAACTGGTACAACTTGAAAGGGGTCTCGAGCCCCCTTTGGGTGCCCCTTACCCAATTATGCCACTCACGCACCGAGAGATCCGGCAGGAGATCTTTATTTTAGGGAGGCGAGCGGGAGGCAGGAAGGCAGAGAGAGAGAGAGGAGGAAGAAGCAGAAGGAGAGAGGAGAACAAAGAAAGGAAGATCCTTTTATCAGTTTTGGGGTGGGCTATTGCTTGTTTATGAGGAGAGAGCTACTTTTAACCTATCACAGGCCAGATTGCTTTTATGGGCCCAGTCCTGCAGACACAGATTTCAACTTTCCTGGACCACTGTGGCCTTGGGGGGGAGGGAAACCAGAGATAAGGGCATGAGGTCATTTTAGGAGCCAAGATGTATCAGGAGAATGCAGCCAGTGAGGCGGCGTCACAGCATACTTTAACATGATCAATTCCCTAACACAACTTCACTGTCACAATGTGGCTGAGCATACACACCAAGCAAGCTTGTTCTTCCTCTGAGTAGTTCTTTCTTCTTTTGGTTTGTTTCCTTAGGTTCAGGGCGAGGGGCCATTTATGATCTGGTTTCGCTGCTTCTACTCACCATGGAAGCTCTCCAGGAAACACTATTGAATTTGAGTCACTCCAATCCTTTTAACCCTCCTAACTAATCACCAATCAAGTTCTGTTGATTCTCACTTTTAGATTGATCTCAGACCCACCTCTTCATCTTACTATCACTGTGACATAGACCATTGTCTTGATGTTTCAGTCTACAGGCTCTCTTCATTTTCCAATGTGAGACGTACTGCACACATTACACAGTTCATTCATTATTCAGTGGCTTTTAGTATATCCACAGACTTGTACAACCATCATCACAATCAAGGCTGGAACATTTTCATCCCTCCCCGAGAGAAACATCCTCCTATTCACAAGCACTTCCCTGCCATTTCTGTCCACCACTTTCCCCAGCCCTAGGCACGTGCTCAGCTACTTTCTGTCTCTTTGACTTTGCATGCTCTGAATATTCCATACAAGTTGAATCATATAATTTCTTACTGTTAAACTCTTTAAGTGCAATTTCCTCAAGTTATTTGGATATATCTACAGTAGATGCTTTAAAGTCTTTGTTACATCTGGCATCCTCGCTGTCTCTCCAGTAGCTTCTGTTACCTCCTTTTTGTCTTCCTGCACATGGGACACACTTTCCCATTTCTGTGCATGACTTTTAATTTTTTTGTTGAAAATGACATATTGTAGTAACTCTGGCTATTGATTTCACTCTCCCTGCTTAGTCTTGCACGTGGCTGTCATTTCACTGTTCAGTGACTTGGCTGGGCTACTTTGCTGTGGCTTCTCAGAGGACACAGCCGAAGTCATTCATGGGAAAAGAGTTGTTTACAGGACTCCCTTTAGCAATCTGTTTGCTGTCTGCCTCCTTTAACGTCACCCCCAGCTGTCATGTTATATTAGGTCCTGGCTGATTGCTCTATAAAGAATTCCTGGGCCAGCTATTTAGCTCAGTGGTGCCGCTGCCTGCCTCACAAGTGTAAGGACCTGAGTTCGATTCCCGGTATGCCCCCACCAAAAAAAAAAAAAAAAAATTCCTGGGTGCATAAATTGTTTCATAATTTAAACTAATAAAATTCGAGGCCCATCTTTGAGGTTTGTCTTAACCCCAGGAGGGCTCTTAGAGTCTCCTTTCCTGGTTCTCTCTGGTGAAGGAGATAGCATATGGGTTACCTTCTAGCTCTAAATTAAGGAAAGCTGCTGCTTTTGAGAGTGACTTGCTAGGCTTGAATAACTCTACTGTTCCAAACAAAGCCAGTTCCTTTGGGAAGAGTTCAGGGCTCTCTCTCTCTTTTTTTTCAAGTAGGAAGATATTTATTGATAGGAAAGCTCCTGAGGGGCAGGAGGGGATCTCGAGTTCTCTCTTTTTTCCTTAGGGACTGCCTCTTTTCCTAGGCAAAGTCTCTACACCACCAGCACAGGGACTGGATGGAGTGGTGGACTCTGGTCTCCTGGACTTGGTTCTTTGCCACACAAGCAAGGTGGGGTGAGGGTGACAGAAGGCCCTGATGCTCTCTTCCCACTGCACCTGGAATAGAGCTTTCATTCTGCATGTGGGGTCGCAGTCACCAGTGATTGAAGCTCTGCAACTCAGAGTTGGAAGGGACAAAAATTCTGGCAGGGCCAGGGCTGGTGCCACACACCAGTAATCCCAGCGACTGAGCAGGCTGAGACAGGAGCTCTTGCAAGTCTGAAGTCTGGCCAAATTAGCAATACCCTGTTTAAAAAAAAAAAAAATAGGGCTGGAGATGTAGCTCAGCACTCCTTGGGTTTAATAGCCAGTAGGACCAAAAAAAAAAAGGAGAGAGACAGAGTGAAAAGAAAAAGTGCAGGGCCAGGGATGTAGATCAGCGGTTCCACCACCTGCCTCGCAAGCACAAGGTCTGGAGTTTGATCTCCAAAAAAAAGTGCAGGTGGCCTCCCTCACCTGGTGAGGTGCTGTCTCTTGACTGGAAGCTGAGGGGAGCCAGAACCTGTGGTCTTGGTCACACCCAGCCAGAGCACAGCATCCACAGAGAGCGATGAGTCTGGTAGTTTAGATACCATAGATCCCCACTGTTCTTCCTTCATTTTAACAGATTTACAATCTTTTGCTGCATGTCATTCGGATAATTTCCAGAGACTTTACATGGTTGTTTTTGTTTTTATGCTTTTTATGTTATGGGGAGAGTTGTGCTCCCCTAAGTTTATATGTTGAAGTTTTAACCCCCAGAAACTCAGCATATATTTGGAAAAAGAGTATGTAAAGGGTAGTTAAATTAAAATAAGGACACAGAAAGGCTTAATCTGGTAAGAAAAGGATCCTTATAAGAAGAGTAAATGAAAAACAGACACACACAGGTAGAGAGGGAAGACACGGGTGGAAGATGGGTTATCTACTAGCTGAGGACAGAAGCCACAGAAGGAACCAGGCCTTCCAGCAGTGTGAACTCAGATTTCTTGTCCCCAAAGCTGTGAGAAATTTAATTTTTGTTATTTAAAAGCCACCCAACCAGTCTTTGGTGCTTTGTTAGGACAGCCTTGGCAGACTACTATGATCCCTCAGGCAGGTTTTGCTGAGTGGGGCCATAGAACAGTTCACGCTGCTATCTGAAGTTCACTCTGAGTCATCATCCTGTCTTGGTGGATTATTACCACACACAAAATCTCTCATCTCGTCTCAATGCCTTTGTACTTCTATCCCACCCCACCTCTGCTACCAAACCTTTTTTCCTATCTAACACTGGACTAGGCTTCCTAAAACAGAAGTGTGACGGTGTCATTACCTTATTAAAATAATTCAGCAGATGAGTGATATGCTCCCCATTATTCCCAGTGTGAGGCTTCTAAATATAGTCTCCAAGGTTTGGCTGTAGCTGGCACCTTCTAATGACCCAGTCTTCATTTTTGCCTCTTTCTTTCATACTATTTGACCGAGTTATATTGGGTTTCTCACAGTACCTTGACCAAACCATAGTCTCCTGGGTTTTTACAGAAGTCATACTGCCTTCCTCATTTCTTACCTCCTTGCTTCATTTCGTCATCACAATCTATTTCATATTCAGATTCCACTTATTCTTTTCTTCAGGAAGTCTTTCCTGAGTCAGTTGGTTTGGGTCAAGTATCTTCCTTGGCATACCTGAGGCAGGATGTTGGGACTGGTGAACTTGATGTGACCTGTCAATCACAGAGATCCAGGAGATATGCACCCTGCCCTGCTCTTGGAACCAATCAGAAACAGCTATCTTCAGTTCTTCTCACAAGAACTCAAACAGGTTTTTGACAGGATGGGCTAGACCTTATAATCAGCCCGAGGAGTAGGAGATACAAAAGATGGCTGGCTGCCATTGAGCTCCTGGCCACTGTGCTCTCTCTTCCACAGTGGTCCACTCCCACCCAGCAGAATGTATTTCTTTTGCTGCTTTTAATTGGCCTGCACTCACTCTGTAGAATGTATTTCTTTTCCTACCTTTAATAAATGTAAAACATCACTGCCTTTTATACAATTCTTTGTTCAGGACTAGAATCTAGAAAGAATCTCTATAGCACCCACTGAATCCTGAATTTCTAACTTTGCCTCAAGACGTATGGTGTAGGGTCTGGAGCCAGGGAGATGAAGAAAAATGAAAAACAACAAGAAAGAGGGCAATGTACCAAGATTATGCTTGAAACCTGGGATCGGGTAGAACCATAGCCTGTTGAGCTAATGGCTACCTGGAGCCCAGCCCACTCTTTATTTATAGTGTAAGACAAGCAGGAAGAGAGTTGGGGTAACTAGTGCTTGGGGCCTACGTGGCCTAGGCTGAGTTAAGCATGATTGTTTCATGATTGAGGCATGTGCAGGAAGGGAACAAAAAAGAAGGATGCATAATGTAACTGTCTCTTGGGGCGGTGCCATGCTGGGTCTACAATCTTGGTCTCGTCTATGGAGGAGAAAGGGTGTAGGGAGGAGGCAAAGGGCCATCTTCAGGCATGGCCCCTAGCATCGCTTCACAGTTATCACACAGCGTTGTATTTGCTTACTCATTTGTATTTCCCTCTGTGCCTCTAGGTTGTGAGCTATGTCTGTCGTATTCATCAATATTTCTTTGACAAACAATTACAGGTCATTGATGTTACCAGATTCTCTAGGCCAATTAAATCTTCAGCTCAGAGTCAGAGGTATCAAATTTACTTATAGATATAGAAATGTTATGTGCTGAACTCATCAGACATCAATGTGTGCATAGTACCTACATATATGCGTGTATGTGCGTGTACAGTACATACACACATTCGGTCAGTATAAAGAAAAATTTGTATATATTTGTAACCTAGATATAAATGACAAGTATGAATGTCTTTTATCTTTTAAGTTTTTTAAAATTAAAAATAGCCATTGTAGTCATCCCTTGGGATCTGCAGGAGATGGACAGCTCAAGACCCTGACAGATATCAAAATTCTTGGATGCTCAACTCCCTGACATAAAATGGCATGCAATTTGCATATAATCTATGCACAGCCTTCCACATCTTTAAATCATCTCTGGGTTACTTATGATACCTAACACAGTGTAAAAGCTATATAACTTGTTGCTGTACTGTATTGTTTAGGTTATAGTGACACGAAAAAAGTATACTTGTTCAGTGCAGGTGGCATTTTTTCAAATAGTTTTGATCTGAGGTTGGTTGAATCTACAGAGGTCCAACTGTTGGTATGAAGGGATGGCAACTCAGCGTTGCCTTGTGACTCAGCATGGCTGACAGCCTGATAAATCTAAATGGCACTCTCGGAAAGAAGTTGACTATATTATTTAAGCACTAGAACTATGCTAGCCGGGTGTAGTGGTGCACACTTGTAATCCCAGAATTTGGAAGTCTGAGGCAACATGATCACAGTGAGCTTGAGGCCAGCCTTGGCTACACTGTGAGTTCAAGGCCAGCCTGGACTACATAGCAAGACTCTGCCTCCAAAAAAAAAAAATTAGAACTCTATTCATATACCACGGAACCTTATTCCAAGTACTGTATCATAAGGAATGAACTGAAAAGTTGGACTTTTTCTGACGTGTATGTGAAAAGATCATACACGTTATAATTATGCATGAATTAAAGGAAAGATGTTATATTGCAGATGGTAAAATAAACTGCATCACCCATTTTGTCCAAGAGGAAAGGCTTTTGTATATCTATTTCTGTTGCCTGGTGAGTGGCAGGGGATAACTATAACTAAAAGTAGAAAGAAACACAGCTGGAAAAGCACGGTTCCTGAGACATCACAGAAGGACGAAGCTCCTCAGACAATCTTGCAGCTTTTTAGACCAAGATTAAGAAGATTAATTACACATTCTCCTCTCCCATCTACATGCAGAAAGGCAAAAGTAAAGATCATTCTAAATTTATGAGATTGGCTTTAAATTTTAACTTTAAAGAAGCTTGTTAAATATTTCACAATGTTCTTATTCAAGCATGAAATATTTAAATCTAGAGAAAAATCTAAATGTTCAAAGAGATCGTGTCATGTGAAACCCTAAGTTAGAATCAATAAACAAAGATTTGGCCATATGAAAGGTTACTAATCACTGCTGAAATTACTTGGCAAGTTACAAGGGATTTGTAGCCCAAGATTAATATACATTAGCACGGCAGTTGTCCAAAAGGCACACAGAACTTTAGATCCAAAGACAGCAGAATTAAATGTTGAAGTCTGATCAAAGTCAGAAGCAGAAGAAGCTCTTACACATTTAGCGTTAAAATCTCTGACAAGAGTAGCAGCATTTCCCACTCCAACGGTCCAAGGCATAAAAAGGCATCATAAAGATGCTCAGTCAGAACAACAAGAAATACCTGACCTGGCCCGGCACAGAGTTGGTGATCCAAACTCTCCTGGATATGAATGACACTATTCCCCTGCCCATTATTGGTATGGGCAGTTAAATAAAGCACAACATTGTGTATTAATTTATACGTGTGTACTATACTAGTTATAGTACATACATAACAAATTTTGTATGTATACTGATAGACCGTACTTATAAATAATTATCTCTATGAAATTTAGTAAGTAGAGAAAACGGCTACTTATTTGAAAATATTAAAGTCAACAACTGAATGCACTATTTGGGTTTTCGGTACTTACATTCTACATAATATTGGGATCCAGTAATATCAGAAGCACCTGTGCTTACAAAAACCCAAGTTATTAGTTGCCTATTGCTGCCTCAAACTCCCACAAGGCTTAGTAACTTGCCGCAGAAATAAATATTGTCTCTCACAGCTTCCGTGTGTCAGTGAGTCAGCAGTGGCTTAACTCCTGGTGGTTCTGGCTGAGGGTGTTGCTGAGGTTGTTAAGATTAGAGGTTGCCGACTAGAGTGCAGTCATCTGAAGGCTCCTTTGATGCTGGAGGACCCTCTTCCAAAGGGGCCCTGTGCCCCCAGCAAGTCAGGTAGGTGCCAACTGTTGGTGGGAAGCTACATGTCCTTCCACACAGGACTCTCCCCGATTTGCTTAAGTCTCCCTGGCCGGTTTCCTCCAAAGGGGGCCAGCCAGGAAAGCAAAGTAGAAACAGCCGTGTCTCGTTGGACCCGGACTCCGAAGCCGCTACCATCAGTCCTTCAGCGGGGACTTAGAGGTCACACATATTCGCTGTGGGAAATGCCGCACAGGGGTGCGACTGGAGCAGCGGAGGACCACCGGGGCCATGGCAGTTAAGTCCAGCGGCCGGAAATTTGCTTGCGGAGTCACAGGAACCAGCGCTCCAGTTTTGACTGCATGCCTCCTTATGCTTTCCAATTCTCACTTCCCTTTTCTGTGGTTGGAAAATGACAGACCTGCTTCATAAGTTTGCTGCAAGAAGGAAAAGAGTTAATGCACACAAAAACATCCTTCCTGTCAGCCGAACAGTGTCATTCTGTATCTCAAAGTCTTCCAGCAACTTCCCATCGGCCTCCCACAAGCTGATCTAGAAGACAGCTGCTATGCTGCGCTGACTCGTTTCTTCTCCCCTTGGTCTCTCTTCCTCACGCCTCTCCATGCATTTGTCTTTCATTGTTCTTACATCCTAAGCATTCTCTCATCTCAGAGCCTTTATATTTGATAAGCTCTCTGGAATATTTCACAGACTTGTGTCCCCTTCATCTAGGGCTTTACCTTAAATGCATTTCCTCATATATCTGCTCTGACCACTTCTTTCGTTTCTTTATCATTTGCTTCACTCACAGCACTTATTACTACCTGACATTATAGTATACATTTATTTACCTAATTTGATACTGTGGCTCTCTCTTCTCCCTCAGTTCCATGAGGGCAGTGTATCATTCATCACCAGAACCTTAATGCCTAGAAGTATGTCTGGCTCCATAATTTTGTTTGAAATTTTAATAATATGAGTAAATTACATGTCACATAACTCGATCATGACAATTGAATGAATCTTGACTTCATCAATTTCCCCATCATCATTCTGTAACCAGTGTGGCATTCTTCATCCTTCAAATTCTTTTCTTTTTTACAAAGTAGTAATATTTTCAAAAGCAAAGTTGTGGTAACTTAACAGTAGTTGAGATGCTCTGAAAAAGAACAAATCTAAGAAGTGCAAGGAGAGAAATTGTTTCCTACAAAAGATCTTTTTTTTTCCAGATGCTTCTGCCAGAAGATTATTCTTTTCTCATGGAATAGATAGCTTTTCTCAGGATCAATGAGTTGTCCACAGAGTTAGAGCACCGGGGACAGGGAAGAGGAAGGAGCAGGAACAGGGAGAGTGGTTAGGGGAGGGGGAGAGGGAGAAGAAGAGGAAGAAGAAGAGAAAGAAGAAGAGGAGGAGGAGGAGATTATGTTTTACAACTCTCCAGCTTTTGGAGTGCTCCTCTAGGGGTTAGCAGTTTCTTTCACACATTCACTATCCTCTCTACCTCCGCTGTCCCTGCAAAATTCAGTCCCTATGTAGGCCACTCATCCATGTGCTGTCTTTGTCAAATCACGAAATGCATCCTTTCTAGCCCTTCAGAGGACCCTATTTGGTAGGAAAAACTGCCAGGGTACATTACTTTGCCAGCAGAGTACAGGTCAATTTGAACCCCCACTACTCCTTGCCTGAAGGACCCAGAGAACAGAAATCCCTGTTCCCTGTATGCTTCCCACAGTTTACCTACATGTCCAGTGTCATCCAAGACGAGGATGACCCTGATGTATTAGTCAGCTTTCCATTACTGCGGCCAATACCTGAGAAACTTAAAGGAAGAGAGGTTTATCTTGGCTTATGGTTTTAGAGGCTTCAGTCCATAGTTAGTTGGTTCCATTACTATGGGTCCATGGCAACACAGAGCATCATGGTGGTAGGAGCCCATGGCAGAGCAAAGTTGTTCACCTCTTGGTGGTCAAGAAGTGGGGGGCAACCCTCATGATCCATGATCCACTGCCTTCAAGTAGGCACCACCAGCAAAGTTTCCATCAGCTCCCAACAATGCTGTCACCTTTTGATCTCATCAGTGGATTGATGTGGATCCCCCACTAACCAATGATTTCCCAAAATCCCATCAGCTGGTAACCAAGCTCCAGCAAGTGGCCTTTGGGGGACATGTTAGATGCCACCATAACACCTGCTAAATCATACTGAGAGAAGAAATCTGCAAGGAGAGGCGGTCTAGCAGAGGGAGAACTGCATTCAAAGTGCTTGAGAGAGGATTTTAAAGTCGGATATCTTTGAATCCTGCCTCTGCCAGTTAATAGCCAGTGACTTTGGAGGTCACAGGCTATCTATCAGAGCCTCAGTCTCGGATTATTGTGAGACTTACATGGTTAATGGGTGAGAATTTAGGGGAGTTCAAATATTGTCTCCTTTCTCATGCAGTTATGCAAAGGACAGTTCCACCTATGACTGCTTCGCCCTAGCACTCCCCACCCACCCTTCCTAGAATCAGAGGCTGACAGAAAAATTCAATCATGTAGCAGACATCCCCACAATTTACTGTGCACGATGGCAGACAAAAATATTTTATGAGATAATCCCACCTCCCCAAGTATGTTCTCTAATTTTCAAAAGTCAAAATTAGAGAGCACTACTTCTTGTCCTGAAACAAACCTGATTGTATCAGGAAGCATTGCATAGTTCCTTTGGCTTCCTAGAATGAACTGTGCCCCATAGACAGATCATCCTGGACTCTCCTCACTTATTTGCTGCGTAACCTCAAGTGAGTTACTTAACTTCCCTGAGCCTCAGTTTCCTGATAAGTAAAATATGTCTATTAAAACAAAGTTTCAACCGAGATTATTGTGAGCTTGAATTATTTGGAAACAAGATTTGTGGCACATAGGCAATATTTAACCGATGGAGTTTTCGTCTTCATCAGTGTTTTCTGTGGTCAAATTTTGTTTGTGGAGAGTTTTGGTGGCTCCCCATCATCCCACAGGTTGAAATCCAGTTACCCTGTTTCAAGGATTTGGGAATCTAGCCCCACATACTTTCCATGCACTGCCCTTGTGTTTAACCCTACAGTCCCAAACATGCAGAAACACTTGCAGATTCCTGAACCCATTATCTATCCTATGCTGGGATGGTTAGTTTTATGAGTCAGCTTGACTGGGCCATTTGGGTGCAGAGATTCTTGGTCAAACATTCTAGGTGTTTTTGCAAGGCTACTTGTTTTAGTTACTTTTCTCCTGGCTGGGACAAAATACTTGACACCTAAATTAAAGGAGGAGAGGTTTACTGTAGAAGTTTGTAGAAGTTTCAGTTCATAATCATCTGGCTCCCAGGCAGGGGCATGACAGAGGGGCATCACAAGAAGAAACAGTCCATGGTGGCCAGAAGGCACCAAAAGCAACAAGAAAGAAGTGAAGAGCAGCCACAGCAACCATCTCTTGTTCCTTTATATTCTATCCAGGACACATGCCCTTCAGGTAGGTAACACTCACAATCAGGGTGGGCCTTCCCATTATCCACACCCAGAACTATGCCAAAGCACTCAGTAGACTAATTTAGTAACCGCATGCCCTTATTCCCAGAATCACACACTCTAGATCCACCTCTGAAAAACCCCATATATCATTGCATGAGGCTTTGCAGGAACATCTAGACACAAACCATAGCAGTGTTTTATATGAGATTTAACTTCTTTTTTATGGTGCTGGAGAGCAGACCCAGGACCTTGCATGTGTGAGGATATACTGTTCTACTGAGCCACATCCCTAGCCCCAAGGTTAACTTTTGATTAAGCAGACCAATAAGACAGAGGGCCTGTGCAGTGTGGATGGGTCCATCCAATCTGTGGATGCCTATTAGGTAGACTATCAAAAGGCTGACTATCTTCTGAGAAAGAAAGAATTCTTCCTGCCTCCTGGCCTTCTAAGATGAATATGGACCTTCTTCCCGCCTTTGAACCTGAACTGAAACATCAGTGCTTGGTCTTAAGGCTGCCAGCTTTCGGTTGGAACCATACCATTGTCTCTCCTGATTCTCAGGCCTTTGACTCAGACTAACACTGAACTGTCAGCTCCTGAGTTTATTAATTCACCCTTTAGAGCTTAGGGTGTGCCCACTTTCATAGCTGTGTTGACCACCTCTCTACAACCTCTCCCTCTCCCTCTCTTTCCCCTTTGCCCCTCCTTTTCTCTCTTCCACCCTCCTCCCTCCCTTGTCCTCCTCTTCTTCTTCCTCCCTCTCTCTTTCTGTCTCTCTTCCTTCACACACACACACACACACACACACACACACACACACACACACCATATACTAACTAGTTTTGCTTCTCTGAAGAACCCTGACCAATATATCTGCCTCGACATCCCATGCTTTGTCTAGGTGACTTCTGCACAGGGGACATATATTTCATTTTTAAAAACCCTACAACTTTTAAAGATCAGTATCTGTCCTACTTCTATTTTAAAAGCAGAGAGAATAAAATCCTTATGTTGCTATTTCACGTCCATCACAAAGAGACCAGGGAATAGAACTGTGGCCAAAATGCCATGAAGTTTCCTAAGGACTCTTCAGAGATGCTGCTAGCAATTAAATATTCAAGTGCAGTTTGATCAGTGCAATACCATGAAGAGAAACTATTAATACTAGGATTCCAATATTTGAACATTTTAAATTTTCTCATCTTCTTGTATCACTTAAAAAATTTATGTCATAAATACAATACGTTTTGTTTAAAATACAGTATGTGTTTTGTTTTTTGATTTTGGTATCTTTATTTTTTTTTCTTTACTGGTCATCAGGAACCACTAGGTGGCAGAAGACACTTCTTTCCCTTATGAGAAACTATTTCTAAAAAGAATTCAGTAGAAAAGAGGGGGTGAAGGGAGGGCAGAGGTAAGGGGAAAAAATGAGAACCAAGACTTGCCATGTAGAGGTACAAGATCCCAACAATGAATGTAACTGTACTGTATCCCTAAAATGTACCAATAAACTCAATTAAAGCTGAAAAAAAAGAGTTATTTTAGAAA